CCCCAAAACCCCAAAATCCCAAAACCCCAAAACCCCAAAACCCCAAAACCCCAAAACCCCACTTAGTTTTTTGAAATTGAACCTTTAAAATGGCAGAGATTAGCCTCTAAAAACACTTTCGGAGAAATCGCATTTGTTTTGTATAAATTTCTGAGCCATTTTCCTTTTGATTCCTTCTAACTTCGTCCTTGGGCTTAGAGGTTTCATTGTTCAATACATTTCTTTTTCTTTAAAAAGCTCAGGCAACATTCTCTTCCTGTGTGTACTAAGGGGTACATAGTCCTCACCACCTCTTATAGATTTCTGGTTCATTCTCATTTTGTTAAGTAGTTTATAGTGGTGAATTAGGGAAGGGCTCTTTTGAGCAAGCCTCGGCTGAGAAAATAGCCTGCTTTTGTTCCTTGAAGGTATCTAAATTGAAGATTTAATTTAAAGAATGAAAGTATTAACATACATCAAGTTTAACTTGACTTGTGATGCTATCCGTGTCTTCATGCAAGGCATTTAGAGGTTCTATGATTATGATTTAAAGAGTACTATTTTTAAATGTAGAGTAAGGCTCATAATCCTCAAAAAGAGGCTTCTCTGAGCTCTTCAAATCCCTTTGAGACCACAGATTTCTGGTAGGAAATTCCTCTTCAAATTTACTCGATATTACATATTCTCTGATCGCTTTAAGGTACGCTTCCTTTGACACTTCTACCAAACGTCACCTCTCCAAAATACCTGGTATTGCTTGATAATCCTCAACCCGTTCACCCTCCTCCTCACTCTTCACCTCAACATGCCTTATTTTCTTCTTCTTGGGTTCAACCTCACTACCTTATTCCCAAAAATTACACCTTCACAACCTCAAAAAATCCCAAAATCTAAAATCCAACTCGCTTACTAAGTAATTTCCAATTAATATTCCAAATCTTGGGCTTGCTCAGCTTAGACTGGGCACTCTTCTTCAGCGACATATACTGGTTTATTCTATTTATTAAGAAATTATTGGGGTTTTGGGGTTTTGGGGTTTTGGGGTTTTGGGG